CCTAGATCCATCCAGCTACAATCTAGGGGAAGAGGAAAGCTGTCCTGTGGGTGCCAGCTACAGACTGGGGCCCTGTCAGGCCTGGGACAATGATGAAAATGTAGGGCTTCTGGTCTGACCTGGGGTTGTGGACTATTTGTGATAAAATCACTGTTTCCACCTTTGTTTAAAATAATAATAATAAAACAAAGTAACATCCCTCTCCCCATAAATCATTTAGTAAAGCCAAAATAGCCCCCCAAATATCCTTGATTGCATTTAAGACTAAATATTTTGAAGCAGTTTAATGGCATTGTGTTTTGACTTATAGCCTCTTTTAACCCCTTAAGTAATGAAGACTTCGGACCTGGGAAGCTATTACAGTTTTAGCACCGAGCACAAACTGGGCCTATGTTAAATACTCAATAACTGTTTATTGACTGAATCAAAGAATGGATAAAAATTTTGAGAAGTTCTTCGGGATGGCTTCCCAGAGGAGATATTTTTAAGGGCTCTTTAGAAATAAACTCTACTCCTTGTGGTACACCTAAGCACAAGGGAAGGTAATTAAAATGTTTTGAGAAACACCAAGCCAATGGCCATTTATTCTTCTGTAGGTTTACATTTCTCAGAGGACCCAGGGGGGAGAAGGAGGAAACATAAAATGTCGCTTGTGTTCATCATAATTACAGGCTGGAGTTAAGGAAATTAATTAAAATTTTTTGAGCAAGCCCCGTATATATTACGTATGATAAGTTTGGAATGAATAATAGGGACACTTTTGAAAAATGATTTTGTCTTTTGTGTTGTGTGCCTGTGATACACTGTGTCTCGTTATATCACTAGCTAACTTTCCTTTTCTGCTATGTTCCGGCAGAGCTGTACTGAGAGAGAGGAAGGGAGAGAATGAATATGAATGTGTATGTTGGAGGAGAGCTCATTTCTCTTGTTCCTAAGCTATCATCGGGTTAAAACACAAAGTCCAACCTGCTTTGAGGTAACTTTACAGCAATGAGAAGGAAGAAATAGTCTAGTTACCTACAAAACCAAGAGAAATATCCCTTTTCTAAATTTGAGCTAAGCTGGTCTACATACATAGCATCTGATATTGAGAATAATACTGCTTATCTGTTTTTTTAAGGACATGCTGGGAACATTTTTAAAAAGTGGTTGATTGACTACATTAGTAAAGTAATACTGCATTGCTTACCAGAAAAGCTGGAATCGTTGCAAAATTCTTAAAGTTTTAAGGATGTTTGGTGTTTTTATGGGCAAAGAGTTTATAAGATAGTGCCCCCGAAACAAATTTGATTTGTTCCAGTTTGCTAACAATGTATTCCTCTTTAGTGCCCAATGAAAATATTTAGATGTTAAGATGGGAATTTTTGAAGTTAGAATTATATTATAGAAGTAGAAATGTAAAGTGAGATCCCTGAATTCTATTAAAGGGTCCAGATTGTTTCTGATTAAAGAATTAACATGCCTTGGGAAGTAAAATTTTGAAGGTTAGCAGTTAACTCTAGGAACTGCAATATAAAGAACTTCACTTGTAAATATTTGTAAATATTTACTGAGTAAAATAATATTCCTAGAAAGGCTGTATTTAAGTCAGAATTTAGTAAATTGAATCATACTTTCATATTGATCATGATTCATTTTGTAAGACAAATATTTATATTTGTGGTAAACCCAGATTTTCATGGGTCAGGATTGCTTGGAGTAAGAATATCTTTAAGATGCCTTGTGTTTTGTAAGATCTGGTTTATTCTTTTTGAGGTTGTTAAGGTACAGAAAGTTTGACTTTTTTTTTTTTTAAGAGCAACAGTTATTCACCAGTATAAACAATTCAGTAAAAATAGATTTCTAAGGTTCTTCCATTTGTAATTGATAAATCGTTCGTGGTGAAATAGTTGGCCTTGATTCTTACTCTCCTTGAGAATGTGGAATGTTTTATAAACACATTAAGAGTTACAAATATAACAGGGAAGAAAGAAAGAATTGTACTGTCAGTGACGTAATATACATTGGTGTGTACATGAAATGTCAGTTAAAGCACTCTACTGCAAATAAACCATGGTAGAATTGGATCTAAGATAAGTATTGACTATCAGCAATACATAGTCTATTTTGTTGAAACCTTCTTTGGGTTCTACTATGAGTCAGAGTCTACTTTGGTTCTGTTATCTTATCTCTCTGCTGAGTTCTGATGATTTAACTGAAGTTTTAGGAAAAGTAAGTGTTTCCAGTGAATGGGTTGTAAGATTTTCACTACCTACTGTCCAATTGGGAACCCATGACTTACTTGGGAGTGAGACACATTTTAGAATTAATAATGCACTACAACTGAACGGATAATGGGAAATTCAGTTTTCCTTCCTGCAATATTAACAAGAATTGAACCAAGAGAGTAATCTTATACTGTTTCAGAATATTTTGAGGAAGAGTGGGGGAATAGTCAGTCTTTGTTAAATGTACAGAAAGAAATTCATCTATGAAGTAGAATCAGTGCTTTTAGAAAAAAAAAAAGGCAGTGGGAAAAGTAATTCCCACTTTTCAGTTTTCTCTTGTGATCTGTCTGACCCTGAAGGTCTTCTTCAGTTAATAGAAAATGCAAAAAGCACAGAAATAACATGTCTTCTATTCATCTCTCACCAATGTTCCCTTTCCAAAAGGAGCTAATATCAGTTTTTTTTGCACATCCTTTTTGTGTTCTGTGTTTATCTCCTGCACCTTCCTTTAAGCTATTATATTTAACAGACCAAAAAACAACAGAGTTAATGATCTCTTTCTTTAAGAAACAAATACTCTGTATTACCATTTCAGAATTCCGTTTTCCATATATTACCTTCACGGTCAAGTAAGACCTGCCTAAAACCCAGCCCTCCCATCACACCTGCTCACTTCCTTGGTCATCCCTCCTTTCTTACCCAAACGTACCAAATTCTCCCCACTGTCTATGCCACCCTCACAGAACTTTCACCTGGAATCACATTTCCACAGTTTTTGGAGAGACTGGCACTTCTTAAATTCTTAGTTTCCCTTACCTCTGCAGTTAGATCTTCCCTGTAGGTCTAGGTAACTCCCTTACTCTTACTTTTCTCTCTCCCAGTGCTATCTTTTTCTCCTGAATACTTCATGATTTGCTAATATTTGCTTGTTTAGTAATAAACAAAACTCTAAGCTCTGTGAGGGCAAGGATATGTGAATGCCTGAATGCTGTGTGTCCAACAAGGTGTGACTCCACTTTGTCATGTCTTTATAACAGACTGTCAACCCTTCAGTTTTGTTAACATGCCTTTTGAGAATCAATTTTGGAGACCCATCAGAACTTGGAGGGCTTTTGACCTACCTTCCTATCATGTATGTCCCTTCCCCCTCCATCCTCTATCTCATCGAGCTTCGACTTAGCCTTCTCTATCACCTGCTGCATCTCTCTTCCATAACTCATGTTATATTTTGTAGAAATTATCAGATCATGTTTTGTTTCTAAATATTTCTTGTGCATTCATCTTTATTGTTCATTTTGTTTCATTCTTCTTTGGCTTACCTACAAACAATATTAACAACCCCTCCTCTTATTCTTGTGACCATTTTTTTTTTTTTAAATAACCCACCCACACCCCTGGAAAGAGCTCTATTTTAATTATTATAATGAGTGTGGGCTGTGATGTCTTGGGGAGATCTTGGTAGGTTAGAGTACATAGTCTAGAGATGTTCATATTATCTGACAGTGGGAAGTTGTTCTGACCTAGACTGATACCACTGAACAAAGTTGGGTGGGGAGTGGGGATATTATTTATATCAATGTGGTGTCCAGCTAGAGATAAACAAGGAACTTTGTTCTACTGTTGGCTAAAACATAATGGGAGTGAGAATGGGATAATCTTTGTGAACGTTGAACTGGTACCCCTGGATAAATAGGAACTTTTAACATAGACAAGAACCTAAAGTGTTATTGTTAGTGAGATCCCAAATTTGAATAATTTCTTTACATTTACTCTTTCTATTAAAAATATATCAAACATACAAGTATACAGAATAACATTTTGAGTATCTGCTACCTTCCAGTTGGCTTTATTAAAACTTTAATTTTTGGTATTTTCTCTTCTTTCCTCCCTTAATGCCAAGAGCCTCTGTGCAGTGAGATAAGAGTTGTGTCTTGTAACAGTAAATTCACAGTTTTGAAACCAGTGAAAGACTATTATAAAATTTTGGAATGTGGCAGTGATACCACATTGCAGAAGGATGGTGGACTCTGAAAATTGCTTTTAAGGTATACGTCAGCTAGACAGTTTGAGGAAATATTTAGAATAATATTTTTCAAACTTTTAAATTTTCACCCACAATAACAAATATATTTTATTTGCATTATAATCTTCAGCACACATACATGCACACAGATACAGATAAAAACACACACACAAATACTCACACGTAACACATACCTCTAAATAAAAAGTTTTAATGAAATAATGCTTAGTCTTTCTTTGTTAACTGTATTGTAACATAGTCTATCCTGTTGCTTCTACTTGGTTCCAATAAATTGATTTCACATATCATTTATAGATAGGAATCCACAGGAAGCTGCCATAATTTCTTAACTAGGAAGACAATTTCTTAAAAATTGTATTTGAGAGTAAATGGGCAGCTTTGCAACCCAGCGCTCAACCGCTGCGCCACAGGGGAGGCCCGTATTTGAGAGTAAATGGGATAGGAATGGAAGGGAGAAGCTACTCCAGAGATGGTTGTAGTAATCTAGGTGAGCGGCGAGGTGAGCTAGGCCTCCGATATTGACGGAAATAGAAAGTTTCAAAATTTGAAAGATACATTCAAGGCATAATTACCAAGATTTAGGGAGTGTTGGTAACCAAGACTTAAGGATTAAGGGAGAGGGAAAAATAAAAAATGACTGAGCGTTTTTAAGTCTAAAAGATTTGAAGACTGTTAGCCTCATGTCCAATGTTAACCTTTTTGGAAAATGAACCTTGCTAAGTGAATTAAAGTCTTGTCTTGTGTTTCAGAATTGACTAGCCCATTCCAAGACTTAGGAGAAAGTCAGCGCACTTCCGAAATTGAATCGCGCACAGTCACTTCCAGAATAAACGGGAAACTTAGGACATTTCTGGAGAATTTGTACTTGCCACCTACTTCCATCAGACCCTGAAGGCAGTGAAGCCTCACTCTCTGTCCAGTTCCTGTTTGCCTAGGACGCCTGCAGTCCACCACTTATGCACTCCAGCACCCCCATCAGCTCTCTCTTCTCCTTCACCAGCCCAGCAGTGAAGAGACTGCTAGGCTGGAAGCAAGGAGATGAAGAAGAAAAGTGGGCCGAGAAGGCAGTGGACTCTTTAGTAAAGAAATTAAAGAAGAAGAAAGGCGCCATGGATGAGCTGGAGAGGGCCCTCAGCTGTCCGGGGCAGCCCAGCAAATGTGTCACAATTCCCCGCTCGCTGGATGGGCGCCTGCAGGTGTCCCACCGCAAAGGCTTGCCCCATGTTATTTATTGCCGCGTGTGGCGTTGGCCAGATCTCCAGTCTCACCACGAGCTGAAGCCACTTGAGTGCTGTGAATTCCCGTTCGGTTCCAAGCAGAAAGAGGTGTGCATCAACCCCTATCATTACCGCCGGGTTGAGACTCCAGGTAAGCTTTCTTCATGCCATTGCCATTTGAAAAATTAAGGGAGTGTGTCCCAGTTGATGAAGGGTGATGGGGCAGGACCAGGCTCCATATTACTAATGTGAGACAGAAGAGAGGGAGGTTCCATTTTGAGAAACTAATCCAAAATTGTGTGGTCAGAAAAATCTAGAAAGAAGATAATTTCATTTCAGTATACATGTGAGCTTTACGTGATCTTGAAAAACACAATTTTCTTTTGATGTATTTTGGAATTATCATCATTGTTTTCTAGTTATTGTGTCCATTGAAGGTCTTAATATGCTTTGATATGATTAACTGCTCAAAACAAAACAAAAAAAAAAAAAACCCCTTCTCCTTCAATTCAACTCCTTCTGAACTCAACAAAAGGTTTTTGGCTGCCAATTTCCTCAAACTCAGATAAGTAAAGGTATCTCATACCTGAGTCCAAAAATAGTGAAAGAGTTGCTAGAAATCCTTTGGGCCAGAAATCCTGTTCCCGGGCCTCCCCGGTGGCGCAGCGGTTGAGCGCTGGGTTGCGAAGCTGCCCGCGGCCACTGCGGTGCCGGTTCGATCCCCGGCTGCTCCCCGGCCACCAGAGGAGGGTCCCACATGGCGCGCAGACCTCTCCTGCCGCCCGCTGCTCCCCTCAGCAGTGTACTTCGGTCCTTCTGCCTGCTCTGCTCCCCGCTCTGGCTCTGGTGAATTCTGTCACCCTCCTGCGCTTCTGACTGTACCCAGTGCTTGTATAAACCAACCAACCAACCAAACAAATAAATAAATAAGACATGCCTCTAGAAAATTAAAAAAAAAAAAAAAAAAGAAATCCTGTTCCGAAAACCATGGGAGTTGGGGGAGATGGCAGTTGTTTTTAAATATGGTTTTAAATATAAGAATGTATTGTTCTAAAACTCTTTATACACCTGGGTGTGTGTGCACATATTTCACTCCATTTTTGGAGACATCTGGTATTTCTCCCTACTCTTGGCAATTCTGAGCTGTTGTCCCTAGAACGTATACATCTTTGTTTTCTTCCTTATTTCCTGCTTCTTTGTGGTCTCTCTTTGCAAACTTACAATAAAAATAGTTAATGTCTGAGCTTATGACAGAAACTTTTCTTTCAAAGATTTGAGCTACACTAAGTATTCAAAATAAACCCAATGAAATCCCAAAGAATTTCATTAAGAAATCCTTTCTCTCTATACTTAGATGAATCTTGAATAACACATGAAAAAAGGGAAAAAAGAAATACTTTCTCTTTACCTAATGGATTTGTAAAATGTATTTTATAAGAAATATCTTGTAAAATGCATCTGGTTTTCCTCTTAAATACTGGAAGACCTAATTTTAAAGGATTTTTGCTATTTTAGTTGTTTTCATATTCTGTAAGCTTCTTCTAGAAGTGGTGGTGTGAATACTTTTACATACAACAGATAGATCTTATCTCATTTTAGATTTGTGTTTTAGAAATGGAAGATGCGTAAAAATTGTATTAAATTTAAAGTACTTAAACTTCACAGTATTTTTTAAATTCCTAATTGATTTTTTAAAAGATTTATTTATTTATACATACAAGAACTGAGGTACAGGCCAGAGATGAGGGGGGTGAGAGGATTTACCAGAGACAGAGTAAGGAGCAGAACAGGCAGATTGATTGCTGAGGGGAGCAGCAGGCAAGTCAGGAGAGGTCTGCTGTGCCGTGTGGGAGCTCCCTGGTTGGGGATCGAACTCATGCTGTAGTGGCTGTGGCTAGCTTTATTGGTTGCATCTTAACCCCTTGCGCCAGGCCCCCTAACTGATTTTTTAATAGAAAATGCAGATTTTTTATTTAGTTTTCTGGCCATGTTTAAAGTAAATATTTTGAGAACAATGGAAATGCTGATGTTAAGTTTGTTTGGTCTCTATTACAAAGTTTCAGTTTTGCCTTTGAAATCTCTTAGTTTTGATTTTCCACTTTAGGAACATGAAGAATACGTTCTGATTTTCTTATCATTCACATATCCACTTAAATAATTGATTTCATTCCTTTTCAAACTATGTGCAGTAAAGGACAGTTTTTATTTTTTAAGTTTCTAATCTGTCAAAAATTGGTATTTTTACACAATACAAATTGATTACTAAGCAAATGAAATTTAAAAAAAAATTACAGAAAACAAGCCTAACTTTTTAATTATGCATTTCAATAGATATAAAATTAACCTGACAAGTTGCTATGAAGGTTTCTAAACATTAATTCTCATTTTTAATACTTGGATCTTCATGGTGTCATACCCAATAGTCGTGAAGTTTCACCAGTTCTCAGACAAGGCGCAGGCCTAGTAGAAGTTCAGAAAATGTTTTCAGGAGACATCATAATTTTACTCCATACAGTTGACAAGAGGTTATTTCAGAAGTGTAATTTCTTCTTTACATCGTATTGGTAAGGAGCAGCTGAGATGGAGAAGTAGAACTTAGTAATTAAGAATAGCTATTGCTATAGAGTGAATAATTGTGCCCATAGCCCCCATTCCTATATTGAAATTTTATGCCCAAGATGATGGTATCAGGAAGTGGGGACTTTGGGTGGTGATTAGATTCTGAGGACAACCCTCATGAATGAGATTCGTACCATTATAAAAGAAGCCGTAGAGAGGTCGCCAACCCCTTCCCATTTTGTGAGAACTCTGAGAAAGTGGCTGTCTGCAACCAGGAAGAGGGCCCTTTCCAGAATCCAGCCATGCTTCATAATGATCTCAGTTTTCCCAGCCTCCAGAACTGTGAGAAATAAATTTCTATTGTTTATAAGCCACCCAGACTATGGTATTCTGTTATAGCACTTCAAATGGAGTAAGACAGCTATGTTTTTAGTAGAAGTACTTAAAAATATGATCAGTGCAAATCTAAGGTAACTGAGCCAGTCAGGCCAAATAACAACCAGGGTGATACCATCGGTTTTCTCTGCAAAAAAATATTCACAACCTTCGGTTTGACCCACATGGGAAAAATATATTATCAAGATATATGCATCGGTAAAGAAAATACATTCTTTCTTTTCTCTGGGTGCTCCAGATCTGCAGGCTATGAAGAAATAGAAGTCTCCACATTCAGAAGGGTTTCAGGTATAATGTTTATCAATGTGAGGTATTAGCTGTAGATACATTACATTAAAACAAAAATTACAGAGATTATTCAAATTCTTCTTTATCCAAAGAAGAAATATGAGTGTTTACTTGAACATTGTTAATATTGTGATGAAGAAACATCTTTGAAAAGCCTCATGCCATTTATTATCGTGGTCCCTGGCTTTCAGACTATTCATGAGGCAAGTCATTTTTTTATTCTTGCATATTTATAGATACATGAAAGGAAATGTAATGGCTTATCATCCATTCATTTTTGCATAGTTCTGTTGAGTATTTGTTCTGTAGTGACATAGGGCAGTAGATACAAATACAAATATTGGCTCTTACCAAGGCAAGAAATTACTTGTTTCTCTGCTGCCCTCATATGTAGTGGTTTAGTTGAAAGTTTTTTATTTATCTGTTTGAGTTGATTTTATACCTGTAGAACTGAAAATTATTGCTTGTTAAGAAAGAAAGAAATATGGAAGTTAAATGATAGACTTTATGATTGAATTTATTGTTAAGGTACTGCATTATTATCTGTTTATTCCAAAAGATACATTTTATGAAAATTTTTATCAATACTTACACGTAGTAACAAATCAACATTGTGATTAAAGACAAGAATCACCCCTCATCTCTAGAAACAACTGCTTTTAAAAAATCTTTCTGTAACATTTTTATTGAGGTATTTTTATTTTTATTGTTTGACAGCCCTATATGATTTAGGGGAATAGGTTCATACCTCATCTGATGTGTGTTACCCCTTCACACTCACCCCCAAAGCACCCATAATCCTCCAAGGTAGTCCACTGGCCCTCCTCCTTTTTGTTCCTTATCTCCACCCTCCCGCTCTGCCTCAGTTATGCAGTCATGTTTTGGCTTAGTTTGGCCTGTTCCTTTGTGTTTTGTTTTTTTTTATTTCACATGAATGAATTTATCTAGTATTTGTCTTTCTACTTTTGACTTTTTTCACTTAGCACAATTTCCTCCAGTTGCATCCATGTTGTCACAAATGGCAAAAGTTCTTTCTTTTTATTATTTCACTATATATTCCTTGCGTATATATACCATATCTCTTTTCTGTCCACTTGTCTGTTGTGCACTTAGGTTGTTTCCATAAGTTGGCCATTGGTAAATAGTGTTGCTATGAACAAAGGAGTGTTGCATTGAACTTCAAATTAGTGTTTTTGCATTTTGATAAATAAACAAGTAGTGAGATTGCTAGAGCCTATAATAAATCTATTTATTATTTTGAGAAACCACCATACTGTTTTTCCATAGGGGATGATCCAATCTACATTTCCACCAAGTGTGTAGGATTTCTTTTTCTCTGAAAATTTGCCAATACTTAAAACAACTGCTTTTAATCATTCTTGCTTAGTTCTTTTGCTAGTTTCTTCCATTATTACTAAAAATTATGGAAGTAACTCTCAACAGTATGCTTACACATTGTCTCCAAGTTTATTGCCTTTAGATTATTTCACTGACACTCTAACATAAAAGGTGAGGATTTAGCTAATTTATGTATTACCTTCTTTCTTCCTCTTCTCATTCCTTGATATCTATATTTTGGTTTATGATTTATGTTATTTTTTATTGTTCTATTGGTTTCCATTGTGGGATTTGGGTGTAAGAACTGTTATCCCGTAGAAGAACATTGGTCCTTTGCCCTTTAGTGTCCAGCTTTGGAAGGCAAATTGGGAAGATGGAAGTGAGTTCCATGTCCATTTTTTTGTGGGTCATCTTCTGGGCTCTGTTAGAATATACATTTTGTTCATGGATATTTAAAATGCAAGGGGATATGACTAGGTATGGTTCTTTTTTCACTCAATGGGCTGTGCTTTTTGGCTCTTTTCAGTCTGATATCATAGATTCTTCTATAACTCTGGGAAATTTTCTTGTACTATTTCTTTTTTAAAAAAGATTTATTTATTTATGCATACGAGAACTGGGGAACAGGCCAGAGGTGTGTGGGGGGTGGTGAGAGGATTCACCAGAGACAGAGTGGGGAACAGAACAGGCAGACTGACTGAAATACTCTGCTGCGGGGAGCAAGCGGGCAAACCAGGGATCAACTCTTGCTTCAGTGGCTGCAGATAGCTCTATAGGTTGTGTCTTAACCCCTTGTGCCACCAGGGAGGCCCTAACTTCTTGTGCTATTTCTTCCATCACTTCTTTCTCTTGTTTTCTCTGCTTCTCTCTCTGGAACTTAGTCTAGAAAGGTAGTCCATTTAGTAACATGTCACACCTCATCAATCTTTATTGAGTACCTTTTTCCTGCCAGGCACTGTGACACGTAAGGAGTTGATTAGGAGCTAGAAATGCCTGGACAGTGCCTGGCCTTGAGAAGTGCATCCATTCCTAAATTTTTATATAGTGTCAAGATCAGGAATACACACTCTTTTTTAAGTATGGAATCCAAAAGGATCAACATAAAATAAAATAAACAGACTTTATTTCTAAGTTTTCTCATTGCTGCTTGTCTTTTACTTATTAACTTTAATTGTTACTCATATTTATGTTTTACTTAACATCTTATTGCCCTTAAATCTTTCTGGTAAAGACAAGTGGAATGTTTTTACTTTACGGCACGCCTGAGTCTTAAATTTAGGCTGGTTATTTAAATAATTCAACATGGTCTCTGAAGTGAAACTATTTTGGGATTCACTTGGGGTTTCATAGCGAGCAATAAAACTGATTTTGCCTTAAAAAAAACACTTTATTGGCAAAATGAAAGGAAGATGTGAACAGTTATGTCTCCAGAGGGTAGGCATTAAGGCAGCTTTGCTAATTTCTGTGGTAGGAATGAAGAGAGTCTCTTAGAGTATTGAGTTGATTTTCCTCCAAACATTCTGTTAATTGTGACATTCTGCTTAAGATTCAGGCTGCAAAGAGAGAGACCGCTGGTCTATTCTGCTTTATAAGCTCACTTTTGGGGAAGAGATGGAACCTTCATCGATGATTTCATAGTAAGCACAGAGAAAAGTAGAGGGGTGGTTCTCATAAGAGAAATAATGTTATTGTCAAAAACTGAGCAGACAAAACCAGCAAGTGTCCACTCTATTTTGTGCTGATGAGCCAATGTTCGATTCTAACCCGCTGGGTCCTTTCTCATCCTAGTGCTGCCTCCTGTACTCGTGCCAAGACACAGCGAATATAACCCCCAGCTCAGCCTCCTAGCCAAGTTCCGCAGCGCCTCCCTCCACAGCGAGCCGCTCATGCCTCATAATGCCACCTACCCGGACTCCTTCCAGCAGCTTCCCTGCTCTGCATTCCCTCCCTCGCCTGGGCCATTCTCGCAGTCCCCGTGCCTGCCCAGCTACCCTCAATCCCGGGGGAGCCCTGAGCCCGACATTCGCTATCAGCACTCAGGTCAGTAAAACTGCAGCCCACTGGGAGTATGAACCAACACAATTATTTATTACAGGAGTACCAGAATTATAATCACTGTAACTAATGTTCATGTAGTGCTTTATGGTTTACATGGCAACCTCCTGTGGGCCACTGGACTCTGTCCACCCTCTGAGATGATCCAGACTAGACCCATTTTGGAGCAGTTTAGCACTGAGCTACGACATGTCTTTTATCTGGTTTCTGGTTCTAATCCTTTGAAAGTGCTCAGAAATGAAGTGGATTGGAATGGCAGCCTTGGCAGTTTCCAGGGATTTTTTTGTGAAGGCAGTAGAATAAGATTGTAAATACTACTTTAACTCATGCAGGAAGGTTTCGCCTGAGGGCAAGCTAGGCCTTTCCTCAGCCTCTTATACAGTAATCAAAGGGACTTCTGCTTGCAAAAGATGTATACATGACCCAGAGGGGCAGAGTGAGGTTCCAGTTCTAGCCAGTGCATGCTTCCTTTGTGCTTTGTGAAGCCTGCACATCATCTTGAAGACAGAGCTGGTCAGTAAATATTTACTGAATTGAAAAGCATATGGAAGGGGAGAGGATGTGCATACCCCTCTGGGAAAGGGAGTCCATTTTCATAGTTAAATATGCTACCACACCTATAAAGTGAGTGTAAGGTTGTGAAGAAAGGACTAATAGGCAGAAGATAAGTGTGCGATAAGTAATATCCTGAGCTAACAAGTTCCTAAGGTATGTGTAAGTGTATTCGGTGCCTGATATTATGCTCTTCCTGATCCATTTATTCATATATCCACTTATTTAACAGCTATCTATTGAACTCTTACTATATGAAAATATTGCCGTAGAGTACTGAAAGAAGCCCTCTATTAAAAGATTAATTAAAAGATTAATGAAAATTGTCTCTGTCTGCAAAGAACTTAAACATGTGGGAAGATAGAGAAGTTGCCCCCTTCCCTTCCTGGTTATTCAGTTCTTCCTTTTGTACCATCAGCAATACATCTACTATTTCATATAGATATCTACTTTTACTTACCACACTAAGTATATAGTTTCTGTCTGTTGTTTCCTCCATTCAGCTGTCAGTGGTTCTCATTTGCATTTCTAGCACAGAGACTGAAACACAGTATTTGTTCATTAGTTGATTATTGAGTGAATGAATTACCTCCCAGGCCTCCCACTTGAAACTATAGCTCAGAGCTGTAGATGTAGATTTTACTGTGTCGGTAAGTACTGACTGAGTACTGACACCTGCTAAGTGCCAGGCCCTGTGCTGAGGCTAGAAGTGTGATGATGATTATCACAGTGGTCCTGACTTTTAATAGCCAATGGCTATTGAGAATGGTCATGTGGATAAGTAACAGTGTGATGAAGGCTGTAGCAGTCCAGGCATGCTTGAGGACTTGAACTGAAGAAGAGGGGGAAAGTAAGTGAATGTGAGGTCAAATCAATAGAACTTGATGTTGGGATGAAGGCTGTGATGCTGGAAGGAAACTTGGGTGTCATTCCTTGAGAGTGAAGGAAGGTAGTTGGAGTCTTACAGGTAGCTCAATTCACTGAGACAAGGACACAGCAGAAAAAAAAGTCGTTTAAAGACAAAAACTTGGTTAAAGGACAGAGGATAGTTATGTCACAAAATGCGTGTTTACATGAAACACATATGTGCTATACAGATTTTCTGTACTGACCATATTCCTGCAACTGGTTAGACTAACAGGTTGATGTTCTTTTTCCTCTTCCCACCCACAAAGGAAGGACCTCAACCTCTTTCCAGAAAATGATTAATTTCTCATAGAAGAAATAGTCTTTTTAAAATTAAAAGAAAATAATTCTTTTCTGAATGATTAACAGCAAACTGCCAACTCAAATAACATGTTCATAGATAAATAAGACTAAAAGGAACATTTGAGATACACTGGTTGAGCCCCTTGAATTATTAAGTTTTATTAAGATATAATTCATGTACCACACAGTTCACCTATTGAAAGTATGTAATTCAATGGTTTTAATATACTATATAATTTTAAAGTGTGGTAAAATATATATCATGTGAAAACTGCCACTTTAACCTGTTTTGAGCGTACAACCCAGTGACATTAAGTACACTGACGATGTTGTACAACCATCACCATTATTTCTAAAATTTTGTCATCACCCCAAACTGAAACCCTGTAACTTGTAAGCAATAACTCTCACTTTCCCTCTTTCTTCAGTCCCTATAATCTACTTTCTATCTCTGTGGTTTTACCCATATTAGGTACACCTCTCATAGAAGTGGAATCATGCATTTGTCCACTTGTCCTTTTGTGTCTAATTTTGCTTAGCATAGTGTTTTACAGTTCATCCATGTTGTTGCTTGTGTCTATACTTCATTTTTGGTGACTGAACAATATTTCACTCTTTGGATATACCACATTAGGTTTTATTTATTGGTTGTTGGATGTTTGGGCTGTTTTCACCTTTGGGTTATTGTGAATAATGCTGCTTTGAACGCTGAGTTGCAAGTATCTGTTTGAGTCCTTGCTTTCAATTTCTTTGCGTAGATACCTAGAAGAGGAACTCCCGAATCCTGTGGGAACTCTATTTTCAATTCTTAACTTTATAAGTAGATTTACTCAATGACCTGCAAAAGGGCCCATGTTGCTTAACTTTTTTGCCAAGGTTGTAGTTCAAGTTCTCACAAGGAAATGCCTTATCCATGCTTTTGCAGGGGATCCATAGACTTTTATTAAAACAATCATGCTAATTTCAACCTCTGATCTATCACCTCAGAATTTCTGAGGGTATAATCAGAAGTCTACATTTTTAACGAATTCCACTGGTGATTTTTATGCATACCTAAGTGTGAGAACTGCTTGAATGGGAAATTCAGTTCAACACAGGCAGACTGACCCAACCTTTTATGCATCAAACTCCACCACTAATGTAACAAGACTATTCTGACTGACACCAGGAATGTATACAGAAGGAATGTATTGTTTTGAGAGGTCATCACTACAGAAGTTTTCTTCTGCCTTGGGAGTTTTTATTGTCTTATGAATTCATTCCTGCTATGCTATTATCTATGGAGTACACCTTTTGTCTAGCCATGATCACTGTCCAGTCATAGAACTAATATTTGGGGAGAAGAACCCTTGTAAGTGTGCCTTATACTCAAGGTGTACAATCAGTTTTCATCTTCTCTGTCAGCTGACACAGAGCATCACTGTGGTCATTGTATAACCCATGACAATATAGGAACTGAAAACTGAGCCCCCTTCAAAGAAGGTTTGACTTTTCTCTCTTTTCAGAGCCAGATAACAGACTATTCTGCCTTTGAGAAGAGCTAGAATAGCCCCAGATTCGAAAAGCTTATCATGAAGTCATTTGAACTCAATGATTAACTCATAAGTCAGAGGGAAAACTAATCAACCCTTTAGTGCAGATCTCAGGACAACCAATTTCTTTTGTTGAACACTTACCATGTCACTTAGAATTGTCTTGTTAAGTTACTGGTCTTTCTTTAGCAATAACTGCTCTCCACCAAGCCCAGGAATTTAATGGCAAATAAGGTTGGATCAGCTGTCTTTGTGTAATTTTATCAGTTGACATTCCTTTGTTTTGCTGCTTTCTTTTAGTTGACACACCACCCCCGCCTTATCATGCCACAGAAGCCGCAGGGACCCAGAATGGCCGACCTCTAGATGCCACAGCTGATAGTCATTTAGTGCTGTCAATGCCTAATGGAGGTAAATTTGCAGATGAACAGCTAAATGTAGCTATTTTCAAGAGTATTTCCTATTTTCCCCAAGCAAAACATATCAAAAAACAAAACAAAGTGTGCTGGCCTGTAGTTTCACATGAGCTTTAAGGGGTAGGTAGCATGGCTTTGCATTTCAGCCCTGGCATACCTCAATACCATAAAGTGCGTGCTTTGTTTATCATACTGCTTAATAGGGTAAGTTGTTATTTTATTATATATTCTTTAATTAAATTTTTAAATTTTAACCTAACATTTAGTAGTTTTATTATTGATGTTGAGTATGGAATTGGGTATTTAAGAAGTAAGTGATTTTGTGCCATTTATGTTTTTTGCTGTAGGATTGTAGTGATATCTTTCCTAAAGAGGTGATCTTAGACATATATGTGATTAGGTTTTTTACCAAATTTTATTTATGTCTTATAAAGGCTAGATAAATGTTGCTCAGCTTTAATGTTTGACCACAGGGTAAACCTGTGTAAATGCAGATTTTGATTTCTCTAGACCTGGGTTGGACTCCAAGAACCTGCATTCCTAACAAGTTCCCAGGCAATGTGGGGCTGCAGTTCCAGGAGCCATACTGAGCAGGGAAGCTATAAAGGGGTTTACTATGTAATTTATCTCAGAGTGAATTACTTTATAAGTGAAGGTGATTTGTGAAATCAAATAATAACCCACTGATTTATTTGTTTCATAAATTTACATTTTAACGCATATAGGAACACACATTAGATGTAAGAATGACTAGAATATTCAAAGATAAGAAAGAGACCTGATGGCAGAAGAAGAAAGAGCTCTGAGCTCTGGTTGGCTACTGGCAACTTAAAACTGAAAATTTTGGGGTGAAAATATAACATTCAAGGATTTCCTGATGAAATAAATAGCTTTCTTTAAAATACTTCAACACCATAAATAACTTGGTATTCCTTATATACATGAAAGGGGATGTGAGTTTTATATGGAAGTTGTTTTTTTTCTTTAAGTAACTAATAGTTCTCCCTGGTTATTTTGATTTAGTTTTCATCATATCTAAACTATTATTTTTCATTTTAGTTTGTTAAATATTCTCTGCTTTAGAGATCCACTTTGGAACAATAATAGCAATAGCTGTCTTTCCTATATAAAGATGAGGCCACCTGCCAACTTCCTTTTAGCTGTGTTTCCTTTAGGGGTGATGAAGATCACATGAATCCATTCAGGTTGTTTTCCTGGCCCCTCAAAACATCTACAAGGACCCTGGTCTCTGTGCCACAGGGACATTAAGCATATGAGCTAATCACAAAAGCATCTGTTAAAGTGACCGGGTTGAAAAGATTGCAAAGCAGCATACCTGGTCTTGCAGACAGTTTTCTAGTTCCTAACATCAATCTAAGTTTCCTGACAGAATCATGAGGTGGGAAGGAAGCCCAGGCCTGACAGTAGTGATGTGCTGCTTCACTTTCTTTCAGACTTCCGGCCAGTGTGCTACGAGGAGCCACAGCACTGGTGCTCAGTGGCCTACTATGAACTGAACAACCGAGTTGGGGAGACGTTCCAGGCTTCCTCGAGAAGTGTGCTCATAGATGGATTCACAGACCCTTCAAATAACAGGAACAGATTCTGTCTTGGGCTTCTTTCTAATGTAAACAGAAACTCAACAATAGAAAACACCAGGAGACACATAGGAAAGGGTAAAAGCATATATTTATTCCTCCATATGTTCATCTGAGCTAAAAAGTAGAAATAGAAACAAGTCATGTGTTGTCCACATAACCTAGTAGGATGATCCAGGGCGGGTGAGCTGGAGAACATTCGCAGGTTACACTGAAAAATTATGTGGGATTTCGGCATATTAATCTCTCTCCCTGAGAGTACTGGAGTAGCATTTTCTAGGGAGTATCATAGGATGGGTATTATGAAGATAAACAAGATGATATATAAGAAAGCAGGATGAAATTGTTGAATAGAAATATTATGAATTATATTTGAATTGCCTGGAGATCCTAAATAGGATACCTTTTGACAAAGAGGAGTTCTGGCTGGCTGATTATTTCTATCATGTTAAGTTACCTTTGGACATAGGTAGATAAAAATCATGACTCTTATGTTCCGCAGCCTTCAGTAGATGACTAGAGTTCAGAAAGTAGGGGCAAGTATGTCATTACTAAAGGGTTAACATAATGTTTGTAATTAAAATTTTACTCTAGGTGTTTTGGGAGGGAGTCAGAAAAAGGAAACTCTATCTCTAATATAATTTTTACCCCAAAGGGAGAAATTTTCCATACTTCAAAGGAAATAATATTTTTATTTTGACTGAATTCTTAACAAATTTCTTTAAAAAAAAAAAAAAATTTCTCAGGTATGGTTCTACTTTCAGATGATTTTTATAAGAATCTGCAAATGAAACCTTAAAGCAGAACATTAAAACACAGTGTTGTGGAGCTGTTTATTGAGGGGCTCTGCAGATTGGTCTGTGTATTAGATTCTTACTGATACCACTTGATCTGAAAATAGAATTAAAATATTAAAGATTATAGGATATCTTCAGGGAAGCTTTCTGCAAGTAGCTTGTTCAAGGGCTGCTGATGCAGACAAGGCAAATTGGTTGTTTCTGTTTGTTTGTTTTGTCATTCACTGAAAGCTAATCTATAGGTCTAAGAAACCATAGGAGCAAGAGTTAAGACCGATGACCTGTGACAAAAACCATAAAACCTAAATGAATGCTCACCTGCATGGAAGGGCACTCCACCCTCACATGGTACCAAAGGCATTATCTCAGTTTTTTTCAGAGAACTGCCTTGGCATTGATTTCATGTGAAAAAAAAAATTTTTTTTTAGAGAAGTATAAACCATGCCATAAAGCATGGCAGAAAAAAAATGTTGGCTTGGAATATTTTTAAAGCAAGAGCTCTCAGTTTCCTATGAAGTCTGGGGCCTGTTTCAGGTGCTCCCTGCATTATTTGGTTCTGACCAGCATGACTTCCTAGAGCACCAGCCTGAATAAATTTGTAGCAAAATGCCCTGCTAGATTAGTGAGTAAGTTAACTTGAGCTCTCTGGAGTCAATTTGTAGAGACACAGATTTCAGAAATATATGTTCATTTCGCAATTATTTCTACACTTAGCCCAACTGTTCTGCCACCTGGGAAGCAGCAATGGGAAACAAATCAACAAACTAAACCAAACCAAACCCAAACCAAAAAAGCCAAAGAAACTTCCTGCCTTCACGGATGGCAGTAAGGACATGTATGCCAATAAGGAAAGACAGACAGGAAATAACATATAAAATGTCAAATGCCAAGTGTCTAAGGCAAAACAAAGGAGGGGAACCAAGTCTCTGGCTACACTTTAGAACAGCCAGAGAAGGCCTCCTTAAGAAGGTGACATTTGAATAGAGAACTGAAGAGGAAATTGACTATGTGGATATCTAAGGGGAAAGAGTTGCAAGCACAGGCCCTGAGCCTGCCTGGCAGTGTGAGGAACAGCAGGAAGCCAGGATGAGTAGAACAGAGAGAATGAGGGTGTGAGGAAGTCTTAGAAGAAGAGGCAACAGGGCCAGGTCACAGGGCCTGAAGGCCAATTAGATTGCTTCAGCTTTGACTATATGCAATGGGAAGATAGATTTAAGTTGAAGAATTTTTAAATTTAGAGATCTGAGTTTTCACTGCAAAAAGGATCCCCTGGCTGAAACATTGAGATTAAATTGTAGAGAGAAAGGGTAAAAGGTATCTACCAAAAATTTTCTTTTTATTTTATTTAATGGTTAGCCATTTCCTTACTCCTCAGCAATTTTCAGTTAGCTTTAGGCCACATCTGGTGTGTGTTCCCTGCCCCTGAAGTTAGCTAAGCTGGCTGGCCCTAAAGAAAGTTAATGCCTCCACCTTGTCAGCGTGCATGCACTTTGAGTTGTGTCTTTTCTAATAGCGATGGCTTCTGCTGATTCCTCCATGTTTTCCATCTAAAGGGGCCCACTGTGAGGTGGTGGGGCTACTATGAATCTCTTATCTGTAACCTTGCAAAACTAAACTGAATGAAAGGGAATTGAACCTATTGCTTTGATGTCATTTAGCAATGTGCTTCAAATAGCCGCTAGCAAGTTAGAACTAGCATGCCAGAGGCTACCACTGAAATATGGAATCAGGAATTTGCACCCATGGTTCTGTCTCTGGGGCCCAGTTGACCTCCTCTGCTGGAGGACATCACCCTTTGTCTTGGTCCTCCTCTTAGTGCATTGTTTGAAGAATGAATCCTTTGATGTAGAAGGAAAATACTTATCATATGCGCCCACAGTGATATGTCACAATCAACTCTGAGATGTTGAAATATAATGCCCATTACTGATAAGTACAGAAATTTTACAGTGATTTACTTTAAAAATATGAATCTGAGAAAATTTTGAATATAGAATGTCACTATTGAAGTCATTAAACTTGATGTTGCAGAATACTTAATATCATGAGAAAATATTCACATGATAGTAATAAATGAAAAGAGTTATAAAACATCCTGTAGTATATGACCCCAGTTTTGTTCAAAAAGAAAAGTTGAAAAAAAAGCATAGCAAATGTTACCTTTGATTATTTCTGGGCTGTGGATTTGTGGCTGGTTTTGTTTTGTTTTTGTATTTCTGTATCTTCTCTATTTTCTCTGGTGGGCCTTCTTGTGCAGGCAAGGAAGATGAGATGGGATCACTGCAGCAGCAGGGAGAGAAGCTCCATGGTGGGCCCAGCCCTGCCAAACTGAGTATGTCAGTGGCAGAGGTGGGGCACGCAGTGTAGCTCAGCTGGTCTAGATCGGCTTTGTTCATTATACTGTCCTCAGAGAATTAAAGTCTTAGTAGTTTTATGGGACCAACCTGACTGACTACCAGTCCAGAGGCGGATTTGTGTGTCCCTTTCTCAAGAGAAGTTGCTGCCATCTGCTGGAGAATTCCTACAATTACTACACAACTCTTGGAAGACTGAGCATGCCCTGGAGTTATGCAGTCGCAGCTGCAAAGACTTTGTCCTCTGAACCTAAGCCCTGGTGTGGATCTGAAATCTATGCTTTTATAGTCTTACATTTTTAAAAATCTACATTCAATTTTTTTTTATTTTGGAAAATTTCGAGTATACACAAAAGTAGAGTCATGAAATGAATCTTCATATTTACCATATCCACTTCAATGATTCAGATTCTTTATCATTCTTTTTCTCTATCCTTTCATGATATTTCATTTCCTTTCTCCAATATATTTGAATATATATCTAGCTATATAAGGAATTTTTGCCATTATTATACTTAGAAGTAGGTGCTATTTAAATGTTTCAGATGATCCTGATAGTCAGCCAGACTTTAAAAATAGTTGTGCAGAAAAGAGAATATCAGAGGCAAGATGATCAGTTACAAACTCAAGGGAAGGGGTTGTGTTTGTGTGAGTAGCTTTAGTTTTTATTCTGCAGAGAGTGGACAGGCATCAGAGGGTTGTGCAGAGTAGTAGGGTAATGACCTACTTTCTGCACACCATTTTTCCCTCCTAGTCATGAGGAAAACCATGCACATTCCTTCTGCTTTGGGACACTGACTTCCTTGAGAGCCTTTACATTCCCCCCCCCCCCACACACACACACATCTTTTTAACTGGCCATCCTCCCAGTCTTTCCTCCGTCATTTGTTTGTCATTCAAAACTATAAAAGAGGAATTGCAGTCTGACTCAGCAAAGCCAAACCTAATCCAAGTCTCTGGTCCTAGTTAATCACAGTACACCATTCCCTGATCTTATTAAGGTGGATACTGTCGCACACAAATGAAAAGAGAAAAAACACAACTTAAGAAGAAATGTGGTCCAAGGTGTGGGTGGAACTTGCTTGAGGACCACATTGTCTTTGGGTTCTTTGTCATCTCAGGTAGCACTTTCTGTGGGCATTTATCCTTATTGCTCCTCTTCTTTATGGTGATCTTCAGTCTATGCGATTTAAAGCCACTGTTAAGGCTTATCAAATGCAGGCAAATAAAATCATTTGCTACTTGACCCTTCTTTAGATGCAGCTGTCTCCAGGCCAAACCCAGACTCCTTCACATTGGGGTTTTTCATCATTGTCCTGGTGACTCAGGTCTACATGTGTTCATCTCATTGGCTCTGAGCCCTCTTTTTGCTCAAAATGCTAAACCACTACCTACTTGCCTGACCAGGCTCTTCTCTGCCTTGTTATTATGCCAACTGCAGTGTGGTTGTGGCTAAGACTAACGCAATTGAAATTCATCCCCTCAGTAAAGACCAGGGTCAGATAACAAAAATCTTATCTCTTCTATATATTTCATAGTTTCTGTGAAGATTACATATTTGAAGGTCATTCTATTTAAACAGCTGCTAAACACTTTTCAGCTTTTTTTCTCTGGCTTTTCCTCACTTGTTCTCCCCAGAGGCACAGCCTCACCAGAGGCAAACCTTCCCCTGGGAGTTTGCAAGGGTTGCTAAGGGAAGTCTGCTTGGATTTGTCCCTGCCTGAATGTGTCAGTGCAGCCACGTAGCCATGTCCCACCGGATCAGGGCAATCCTGGGTCTCTTGTCGAGGCCTGGTCATGGGTATCAGGACTAAGTCTGCTCAAGGAGACAGAATAATGAAGGTTAGAAGGAAATGGGAGAGGACAGGAGACAGTCTGGTACTAACAGTGAGAGGCGGTTGAGTCTTGACCTGTGTGTCAACAGCGGCACTTTCCCTTTGTGACTCTGGATCAGATTCCTATGTAGTTGGAAGGTATGAAAAATGAAAAAACATTTTTTGACATTGATTAAAAGAAAGGAGATGGCTAGAGGAAGCAATAAATAGGGTGGGAGGTAGTCACGTATAATCAGAGCTGCCACGGATGCTACTCAGAACCTTATAGAGATGCTCAGAACAGCTGTCTCAAAACTGTCTCCTGAGTGGAAAGTCTGAGAAACCATGGAGGGTCAGTAAGTTCTCTTTAAAATTTTTGTATTTTCATTTTGATGGGATTCAAAATGCAGTACTGTAAGCATATCCTGGTTCATTCTATAGATGCCTTATGACTACATCGTGATTTATTTACTATCATGTTGGCAGCTAGTGCTGGAGAAAAACTGTTCTGGTGCTTAATTAGATTCCCGTAACCAGATTAGAACTTCTTTATTTTATCTAGCCCCAGTCCCTTGCTGTGAATTTAAGTTGAATTTCAGACCCAAACAATTGGAGGGAAAGAATGAGGGAAAATTTAACTGGGAATGAAAATGACTGGGCAGCAGTGTTTTCAGGATGCTCTTTTGTCTTTTAAGTCTAAGAGTGTGAGATATAGTAGCATTAACTGTATTTTGATTTTGAGTCTTACATCCTAAAATGTGGCAAGAAGTTCACTATTCATAGGTTAAAAAATAGGCATTATTTCTATGACCTATCATACTAAGTGATAAGCTCTAAAATGAAATAGGTCTCTGAAATATTTATTAGAAGTAGATTTTTAATTGTTGATAGAATAAAATTTAAACTTCATTTATTGTTTTCTCTGAAGTGGTTTAGTGTTTACACTTATGTAACATAGCCATGATATTATCTGTTTTCAATTTTTATATTTTTATTTATATGTGTAACTGAAGGACCATTTGATGTTTTCTGCATTGTGTATTTTACATTGAATATTATGAGACTTTATTTTTGGAGTGAATAATGTGAGATTGAGACAGTGAAGAATACATGGGAGTCTACTTATTTGTTCTTGGCAGTGATTATCTACATGGGTTGTAGTTCACTTTTTTAAAATTTAATTTCTTTATTTTTGCATAGAAGAAATGGGGTGCAGGCCAGAGGTATGAGAAGGGGTTGTGGGGGAGGATTTACCAGAGACTGAGTGGGGAAGAGAACAAGTGGATCTACTGAAATACACTGCTGAGGGGAGCAGCAGGCGAGAGAGGAGCTGTCTGCTGTGCCATGTGGGCTAGCTCCCTGGCTGAGGATCAAACTCAGGCAGTTTTGGTGGGCCTTCAAGGTTGTAGCGCTGAGACTAAACCGCTAGGCCACCAGGAAGGGAGGCCCCTGCAGTTCACTTTTGAATGGACTCATGGAAAAAACAGTGTAATTAAAATAATTCTGCACTTGAGTTGCACATCTTGTGACTCTCTGGTGGTAATTAAAATTAACCTTAAAGTAACTTGTCTCATCTCATGAGGCTATGGAGGTCAGTGAACAGGGAATGGTATCACACCTAAAGTCAGTGTGGTGCTGATGTTTGAAGACTCTCTGCTTTGCCTCTCAGGTGTGCATTTGTACTACGTTGGAGGAGAGGTCTATGCCGAGTGTGTGAGTGATAGCAGCATCTTTGTGCAGAGCCGAAACTGCAACTACCAGCATGGCTTCCACCCAGCCACGGTCTGCAAGATCCCCAGTGGCTGCAGCCTCAAGATCTTCAACAACCAGCTCTTCGCCCAGCTGCTCGCTCAATCAGTTCATCATGGATTTGAAGTGGTTTATGAGTTAACTAAGATGTGCACTATTCGGATGAGTTTTGTTAAGGTAAGGAGTGTGTGCCTTCAAATTCTAAAACAGAGAATGAAAAAAAAAAAAAAAACCCAGACAAAAATCTTTTTCAATTGATATGGCTGCATACAGCCTGTTCAAGTAAAACAAATTTGCAGGAACTCTTTGTTTTCAGGAAAAGCACCTCTTCCTAGAGGGTGAACACTCTTGTTTAGCGATCATGAGACAATGCTTTGGCATATCACTTTTGGGAAAAAAACAGGTTAAAGTAGTTATCTGGTAATTTTAATGCAGAGGTTAAAGTGACAGTGATAATTTTGTAGGATTTAATGCAATAGAGATTTTCCATTGCTCAAATTGCTGGCCATTGTCACTCAATAAATGTTGGCAAATTTACCCAAATCAAGTCAGGTATTCTCTTTGCTCATAAAAATCAGACAGGAAAACAGCGGGGATAATATTTATAACTAAGCTACAAGATAGCGCTGGCTCTAATACAAGGTACTGTAAATTTAAGTGCTGTTATAAAGGCATAAACAGATTGGGGTAGCAACATTATTTTGGGTATTATTAATTTTGAGAAAGTGTAGTGGATGTTTTTGAATATTTGTTGAATTTTTCAAATCAGATCCCATTAAAGTTAATGAGAAGGTTGGAGAACTGAGGAAGTTACTTATTGGCAACAAGAAAAATAAATGGATTTGCACATTAAAGCTGAAGGTGTTATCCTTGCTATTTCATCTTTGCACTTGCAAATAATCCTGATATTTCAAAATCTCAGCTTAATTACCAAATTGCCTGGGTGTATATGATAGTTTGCACATTTTCAGATATCCACCCAAGGAATCAGTATGCCTTGTCCTAGGTTTTTCAAAATAGAATTTTTTAATCCTTTAAAATTACAATGAAAAATAATTGTTGCTTTCCTATACTTAAATTATGTTTTTGTTGTAATTATAATTTTAATAATTATTTTAAAACCAAAAATGGAGAAAATAGTTTTCAACTAAAAGAATGGGTTCTTGAGACTGCTTCTCTTTCACAGTGACAAAGTAGTTTTATGAAATTTACTGGAAAGCTTCAAAAGCATTTTACATTGTAAAATAATTAAATACCTGGAAATCTTTCCAAATGTTCTGATGCTTTGGAGCCAGCAGGGGGCATTAAATTGCCATTAATGAACAGACATTTGCAGGTACAGTTACTTTTTCCAGGCCAGTGTTTTTAATATTAGGCTGAAATATCAATATCTCAGAGGTAATTCTTTTACTGTAATATTAGCTTGCATAGAAATCTGAATTTTCTAAGATCAACTAGATGTACCTCTCTCTAATATGCAACACTTAAATTCATGAAGCTACACAATTCATAGAAAAAAATGTACCATATTGCAGATTTTTTTTAAATTAACTCTTAGCAAATATACTACAGATGATCAGTTTGAAAAAATTTAAAAGTTCTTGTCACAAGAAAAATATTTCATCTTAGTGAGGTAGTGGATATTAACTATATAGTCATTTTATAGTATATACATATATCAAGTTATTGTGTTATACACTTGAAACTAGTATAATATTTATGCCAATTATATTTCAATAAAACTGAAAAAAAATTAGTATGACTAAAAATATAAAATCTCTAATAATTTTATATTGATACAATATTTTGAACATGCATAGTTATTAGAACTTTAAATGATAAAAATGAAAAGAAATTATAGATGATTGAACAGTGGCAGCTGCTTCTGGGAGTGCTGGACTAGATCACCTTTAAAGTCTCTTTGGCTCTGATCTTTACTAAGACTTAGTCAACAAATATTTCTTAAGTGAGTAACAAGTGCCAGGCCAGGTGCCATTGTAGGCATTGGGATACATCAGTGATTGTACAGAGAGCTCTGCCCTCCTGAAACCAATATTTTAGTAAGGAAAGACAGATAATAAACTGCACCTCTAAAAAAAGAGGTTCTTGAAAGACAAAACAGAGCAGTTAAAAGGTTTTAGAGCACTGGGAGAGGGGGATGTTGCAAGTTTACAAAGGTGGGCAGGGTAGGCTGTTCATAAGGTGACACTCAGCAAAGATTTGGAGACAATGGAGCCCAGTCCTAAGGATATTTGTGGGGAAAGCATCAGAAGCAGAGGGAAGGATAAGAGCCTACCTGGGAATTTGCAGGAGCAGGGGAGCCAGTGTACCTGCAGAATGATGAGTGAGGGTTGGTGAGATGGGACCAGTAACATAGAACCAGATCAGAGCTTCCCAAGACACTGCAGGGATTTTGGCTTTTGATCTTAAAAGATGAAGAGTCATTGCAAGTATATGTTACCCTAATTTCAGGTTTCCAGGTATAGTTACCCAGCCAGGAATGGATCCCAGGCTGTAGAGGCAGCGCTGAGTCCCAGCCACTAGACTACCATAGGCTGGTGTCTAACAAAGCCGCAGCAGGAACTTTGCTCTCAGGCAAGCAAGCAAAAAGAGGCAAATTTGTTTAGAGAAATCGATATCAGAAAACCTTTATTAAGGAGAAAAGAACAGAAACAAAGAAACCAGGCCAGGGAGGGGCAAGGAAGCTCAAGTGGAGTTGTGCCTCAGGGTATATACACCTTCTTTCCCTAATTACTCTAAAGCCCCATCCATCAGGGATTGGTTAGTTCTCTGTGGTCTCACTCAGTCTTAAAGTTTCTGTGCCCAGAATTATATCTTGCATCTCAGGCCTTATGTTAGAGTCCTTTTTCTTTATCGTCCTTGTCCAGGAATGTCCTGTTGCCCCTAGTGGGAGGGTATGTGGGGGCTGGATTAATCCCCTTTGGAATTTGTTGCCCTTATCTCTGGAGACTCTCTTATTCCTCCTAGGTTTTTTCTATTCTTTTCTGACCCTAAACGCTATCCACTTACCCTATGACTCAGAAGTCGGGGGCAACTTTTCATGATCTGACTTGTTTTCAAGGGATCTCTCAGGCTACTGTGTGGAAAACAGATATTATGCAGGCAAGGTTGGAAATAGGGAGACCTGTTAGCAGGGTATTGCAGTAATCAGATGAGAGAAGATGGGGCTGCCACTGGGAGATTTGTGTGAAGGGGAAGCATTCAAGGTAGGGTAAGAGATAATGAGTAGAGTTAGATGAAGTTGCCCTCAACCAGGATGGAAAGGATGCAGGTGGGTTAGGTTTGGGTATAAGATTAAGATTTTAACTTTGAAGAGAACAATCTCGAGATGCCCGCTGCATATCCAAGTAGAGCAGCTGAGCAGGCAGTTGGATATATGAACTAAGTTTGGAGACAGATGCCTGGATTGGACATGTAAATTTAGGAATTGTCAGTAAAAGGACAGCATTCAGTGCCATAAGCTGGGATGACATTAGCAGTTTGAGTTTAAAAAGAGAAATAAGGGAGAAGTTCTAGAATGGAGCCATGGGACACTTTAATATTTAAAGATGTGGGGGAAGAGAAAGAACCAGTAAAGAGAACAGAAAGTTCAATCAGTGACTTAGTAGTAAAGGTAAGAAAGGAGAGCTCTCCTGCCCACATGTGACTATGCAGGTGCCTCTTTTTCTTTCTCCTTTTAATAAACTGCCCTTTTAAAATGTTAAAAAAAAAAAAAAAGAGGGCCTCCCTGGTGGCGCAGGCGGTTGAGCAGAGCATTGTGAAGCTGTCCGCACCTTCTGCAGTGCCAATTTGATCCCAGCCTGCCGGCAAGGGCCCCACTTGGCGCGGCAGACCTCTCCTGTCTCGCCTGCTGCTCCCCTCAGCAGTGTATTTCATCAGTCTGCCTGTTCTGTTCCCCACTCTGTCTCTGGTGAATCCTCTCACCCTCCTGCACATCTGGCCTGTACCCTGGTTCTTGCATAAATAAAATAAATCTTAAATAAAATAAATAAAGAGGAAAGAAATGAAATAAGGAAGGGGCTTTGTAAGTCAAAAAAGAAGAGAGTCCATTAAGGAGATGGCTAAGTCACATACTGCCCAAGTAATACCACAACTGAGAGTTGAGCACTGATTCTAGCAATAGAGAGGCTTTTTTTTTTTTTTTTAATATTGACAAGAACAATTTTGTTGAAGGCTGAGGCAAAATGCTGATTAATAATGGATTTAAAGAGTTAATGGAAGGACAGGAATTGAGGCAACCAGTAAAGACAACTTTGAGTTTTTGCTAGAAAGAGGATTGAACATATTAGTCAGTAATTGGTGGGGTAGTAGGACCAAGAGAAGTATTTTGAGGATGGAAGATATTTTGGCATCTCTGAATGTTGAGGAATGATCCTGTAGCAAGCAGATTGTTGGAGAGATTGGGGAGATTTGCTGGAATAATGTCCTTGGAAAGCAAGTGAGTCTTATGTATAAATGGATAGACTCTTATTTAGAAATACAGATAATTAATCTATGGTAAGAGGCAGAAAGCCCAAGTATGTGGCTACAGGTGATGTGGAAATTCTCTTTTGATTGCTCCATTTCCCTGATTAAAACAGAAAAGATCATCTGTTGCAAGTAGGTTGAGGAGTAAGTCTTTGACGTTTTAGAGAAGAAGAACAGAGGTGACAGTCATTTGGGGCATTTGAGGGACTAAGGGAGAGCAAAGGAACTGGGGGTATAATGTGAGTGCTAGATGACATCAGAGATCCACTTCAGACTCATGGTCACAAGTGGGAAGTATGATCAGGCAGCATGGTTGTGTTAAAATCTAATTAAGAAAAAAAAATCTGCACAGAGAATCACTATTCCCAGCAACAAAACTTAACGTGCTAGACTGTGATCACTCTGTGATTTTAAAATACATTTTCACTGATGTATAACATATAGAGAAAAATAGACAAATTTGTTCATTCATTCATCATTCATTCTCTCTCATAAATGGTAATAAAAAAGAAAATAGCCAAAACTGAACCAGACAGAGAAAAGAGAAACAAGTTTTGTTAATCAACCCCTGAATATTCAAGAGAACCTTCTAGTTCTCCCTTTAAGACCTAGTCATAGTCTGAAATAAGTGACCAAGTTTTGTGCAAAACATTATCTTAAGCATTTAAGAGAGTGTACATAAGGTCAAATTTCTTCCCTTGTTGAGAGGAAAATGATTTGCCAGCATTTCTAACCAGGTCAGGGCCTGTGCCATCTCTAGGTTCAGGTGTTTCCTTATGAACAAAGGAAATGCATTGACTGGAACTGATCCTCTGACTGATCCTGGTTGATGTAGAGTTGTCCTATACGATCAGGAGTTCACATTCCCTCTCTCAGGGGCTGCTGTGGTGCTTGGGCTCTGTCCATTGAGCTTGTCTTGTGCCTCTAGAGGCTTACTATAAGTTCTGCACAATCACTCTTGGCTCCATTCTTGCTTTTCAGGGGTGGGGAGCCGAGTATCATCGCCAGGATGTCACGAGCACGCCCTGCTGGATTGAGATTCATCTTCATGGACCCCTGCAATGGTTGGACAAAGTTCTGACCCAGATGGGCTCTCCGCATAATCCAATTTCTTCAGTGTCTTAACAGTCTTGTTCTAATCTAAATTTCTATAGAATAGATGCTGTTGCAGGCAGTGGCTTATATGATTTTGGAGTTGCAACTGAAGTTTTTCAGAATATGGATAAATACATATAATAGATATAATTCCTATTTTTTAATTACCATTTGATTTGTGCTTCCTAGTTAACCTGAGGCCAGTACAATGCTGTTAGAAAAGCAGAATTTTGCTGCCTGTGCTATAATAAGAAGCAGCCTTTTTAGTGGAGGAAGCAAATGTAAGTCAAAAACTGTCAATAGTATTTGAAGGATGTCAGCGGAATAGAAGGCAGCTTGTCAGACATGTCATTATAAGGCAAATGTATGGCCCATTATTAAAAATATTAAAGCTCTTTATGTGAAAAATCAGGTACTAGCAGCACTAAAACAAATACAGATAAAACAAAGCAATCAAAACCATATAATTAAAAATGATTTCACTTATTAGTGCCATTGGTAAGAAAAAAAGGAAAAAAAGGAAAAAGAAAAAAAGGAAAAAAAATAAGCTTGTACAATCAATTATATAAGATAAGCCACATAAACTTTATTTCTGAAGTTAAAATAGCTATAGCTGAACTATTTTGCTGATATATTAATGGTACATTTTAAACGAACAAACTGTGATCGGAAAATAAAGAAACTGTGAAATGAGGTCGGGTTGCCTCAGAAACTGCCACTGTAAAGAATAACAAGTCTACTATGGGAAGATAGGCGTAAAAGTGGCATGAATTTAGTTGTATTGCAAGATAAGATCAGAATTTGCCGAAGAATCACCCAGGGAGGTTCCTGCTATCCACCTAGGAAATCAATTCCTGCTTACTTGTGACAGTCTGTCCTAAAGACTCGGTGTCCACAGTGTGAGCTCTAAGACCATGTGTGTAGAGATAAAGCAGGTAAAATAAGAGGATTGGACAAACGCATTACATGTTTACTTATACCTTCTCACATTCCCACATTAAAAGTCTCCAGGTGATAACATTCTCCTGTTGGCAAATGTTAACTATTTACACCTTATTAAAACAATGGAGAAGTCTTTGAGAAAATCTAGGTACACTGATGGGCTCAAATGACTTCCCAAGTAAAATGATAATAATTTCATAATCCCTATAACATCTAGGGAAGAGTGGAACCAAGTAATAGGATTTAAAATATTTCATATATATATATATATATATATGAAATATTTTAAACCTGGGTTTTGTTTTTTATTACCCTTAGATGATTAAAAAGAAGAATATTCCCCAAATTTCTTTTTCTAGGTACTTTCATATATGTGTGTATGTGAATATACACACATATACATACTATATATATATATATGCATATGTATGTGACATATGTGTGTGTGTATGTGTGTATATATATATGTATGTGTATATATATATATATATATATATATATATATATATATATAAATTCCCACCCTCTAAACACTGCACTGCTTGGGAAAATATTTCACATCCTCTTAATATATGTCTAATTTAAGAAGGTAATCATGCTTATAACAGATGGTACTTCAGTAAGCCAAGAGGTTTCTTCATTTATACACTCAACTCTTTCTAGCATTAGTGCACACAGTAGTTGTTTCTCATGAAATTGTATTCAAGGTAGAAATGATCATGTGAAAAATCTATATGAGTGAGTACCACTGTCACCTCTCATAATGACTAGTGTTAAATCTAATAGAAACTTCATATATACACTAGAAAATAAATATTGCATTTATATTAAAACTAGGTGGCCCATTTAGTGTTTAGAAAACCCCATAGTCTATTGGTTCATCAACTATGTATTATGCACCTCTGTAAGCCGGGTACAATGTTAGGTACTGTGGAATCAAATGCAAGCAAGAGACAGTCTCAGCTCTTTGGAGGTGAAAGTCTAATAGTAAATTTGTTTGCATACACATCTTTATGTTTCAGAACTTTTAAAACATGCAATCTTTCTCTTGTTGGAAAAAAAAAGCATTTTAAAAAAAGCATTTGATTTCTTAATTATCTGTATTTTGAAATTTACTTCCTTTCTCTTCTGAGCCATCAGGTAATGGATGAAAATGTCCTAGGATAAGTGCTACTTTTCTTCCATATCTCCAAGTTGTTTTATTTTCCCCCTTGCTTCCCTTTTCCCCCAAGAATTCCTGATCTCCTCTTTTTCTTGAGAAAGGCATTACTTTAGTGAGTCTTTCTTATACAAGTACCACCCCACAGAGAGCAGCCAGTACAAGTGATTTTGACTCCAGGGAGCAAATATAGCTTTCTTGATCTCACCACAAGTGTTCAAACATCCTCTGGTAATTTAATTAATAGGAACTGGTTGCATATGAAGGACACTTAAATATTTGGATTTTCATGTAACTTTGGGAGACCAGGACAAAATATTCCAGTGAACCTGAATTATTACTTTGCAATGTATTTCACACTTATTAGGAATTTAGAATTCCTAATATTCTAAAATCCAGAGAATTTAGAATTGTTGAGACGTTAACCCTTTGTTCATTTTAATATATTTATATTTTAATCAGCCTTTTAAAATTTTTGCTGTCAAGAATCATCAAATGTCGTGCAGTATTTAACTTCAGATTTCTAAATGTACTCACTTAGCATTCATTCCTTGAGGTAGACAATCCAAAAAAAAAAAAAAATAATAGCACTCTTTTATAGGATAGCTAGCAAAATGCACATGCTAAGCCATTAAGTGCAGCAGCAATGCCAAACATGTATAAGGTTGCCATGGACAAGGGCCGTGCAATAGAACAATCATATTTTGTCCTGCTTACAAGATAAGAACATTTAACATGTTGCTGAAATCTGGGTTTTTTTCCTATTAAAAAGATAAAGTTGAGATGTGAAAAGTCTTAGTTGGATGATATTTTAATATCTGTTAGTGCTTTGGAATTACAAAGATGTTATCAACATATTAACTGGTTTTTTTTACATCACTATACATCAGGAAAAATTGTGCATCAAACTAGCATTTAACATCATGAACATCTCCCTCTCATCATCTTCTAAGGAACTGAATACCCAATAACAGCAAACCATTTTGTAAATATTGTTTGCAGGACTTTAATTCTGAATGTGTCCCAGATATTTGGTATATATGTCCAATAAGTAAAGCAAAATATAATATGCATTCCAAATTTTATCTTCCCCTGTTATGATTTAAAAGCTGAAGTGTATAACAAGAAAAGATGTTCCTGGCATATATTAAGTTGAAATTAATGTAAAACAAACAAAAAAAAGAAATTTTCTATTTAAATAATGCTTTTGATTATAATACAGGCTTCAATTACCCTACAAATGCACACTTATGATTACTTATAATAAAGAATATTGCACCTAGCTTGTCTTTTGACTCATTTTTTCCCTACAAAATCTCATAGGACTCATTGCAAATGGGAACTTACAACTTTTAAATTATCTTATTTTGAAAATGGGATTTTTAAAATATAATATGCAATAAAGAATTAGGTAATGGTTTTGATGTAACATCTTGGGATAACTATTATTAAATATAGGCTACTGAAGAGAGTTTGCTGTAATTTTAGAGAGGATATGCATTACTTTTTTCTGGATAGTAGCAAATATGAAGTGATTTAGAGAAGAACAAACATTTTTATTAATGTCAACACCTGTACATGGCTATTTATCACCTACTATAAAAGTGCTAAAAAACACTAGTGAGGAAAAACTAAGATGAAATCTATGAGGAGCTAGGTGTCACTTCTGCTCGGTGATACTATGCAGACAGCTGGGCTAGGGGGAGATTGAGGCCCAGGGGCTTCTGGGCTCCTATATTCTGGACACTTTAGCCCAGGTGTCCCACAACCGGAGGCAGAAGGTCAACCTAGAACTGCAGGGCTATAGTGGCAATAGCTACACTGGGACTGAGTGCCTTGAGACAGGCTAGTGGTCTGGAATACCCCGCCTTCCAAGTTTCCAGCCAGATTATACTGAGGAAAACAACAAAAAAGAAGAAATGTGACTCATGCTAGAGTGTGTAAGAACTGGCTTCCAAATCCCATCTACTTGCCTCGCGTTCATCTCCTAAGCATTCCATGTCATTGGAAAACAGAACATTGTATCATCTATTCAGAAAACTCAAACAAGGATGACAGCTCTGTCTCCTCACCCTGGGGAGTAGTCAGGAGGTGGAGAGTCCATGGTCACTATCAGCCTCTGATTTGGAATCAGGAATTAAAATTGAGTGGGCCAAAGACTTCACTGCTACTTCACCAGAGGCAGCCTCCCCACTGGGTACTTCAGATTCAGAGAACTTCTGGATATCCTTCCCAAGGATTTCCCGTGTTATAGCAGTAGTTGGCTAGAAGGCATTCTGCAGCTTAGCAATAGAGCACGGTTTAAATGGAAAAGAATACAAACCAGGCACCAGCAGCCTGGACAATTAGAAAACCAAACTTTTCCGAGAGCTTCAGATTTTCGTTTAGCTGGATTGACTTTGGAGCTCCTCTTTTCTCCTCTTCAAACCACTTCTACTATGGAGGTGATTCAAGTCTCTACAGCTGAAATCCTAGAAGAGGTATCAATCCATGGTGACTTGCCTATTCTCTGTGAAGTGGCCTCTCAGGTCTCAAGTCTCCCTATCTGGCTCTTGGGTTGGTACAAACTTTGAATTAACACCTTTTCAGGGATGATTAGGATATTTTCTTCCAACCTTTCCAGTAAAGTCTCAGTAACTGGGGGGGCTTCCCTGGTGGCACAGGTGTTAAAGACAGCACTATCAAGCTATTGCCAGGCACTGCAGCATGAGTTCAAACCCCAGCTGGCCAGGGAGCTACCCACATGTCACAGCAGACCTCTCCTGCCTCGCCCGCTGCTCCCCTCAGCACTGTATTTAGTAGATCTGCCTGTTCTGATCCCACTCTGTCTCTGGTGAATCCTCTTACCTCCTCTGCACCTGTGGCCTACACCCCAGTTCTTGTATGCATAAATAAATGTTAAAAAAAAGACTCAATAACTTCTGGCAGGCTGTGCTCTGGCCAAATCAGGACAATCTGTGATGCATCGGTCCATTCTTCCTTTCTGGAGTAATTCTGGAAGCAGGTAATACAATCTCCTCTTGCCACACCCACAGTGGTTCACAATGAATGTGAGTAGAACACCAGGCCTTAAAAATGCTATTTTCTCCCCAAACAATAGATGAGATCTGAAGACTCTTTCAGCATTTATTAAAGAAACATTTTAACATGTGCTTTGAATAAACCTATTTCAGGAAATATTTTTTTATTTAATGAATTTTGTCCTTAAAATATATAAATGATTAGTAAATGTAAAATAAATTTGAATTTCTAATATTTTTCTGAATATCGTATTTATCATTCATATCTGCCATTTGTGATAACAGGTTCCATTAGTAAGACAGTTCTCTTTATAAAGTTAAAAAAAATACAAGAGGGTACTGGAATATATCTAAAAATATAAATTCTCAATTCCCTCCATTGAAATTACCTTCCTATCTTAAGATGGAGGAGGAAAATGTATAAATATTTTGAGAGAACTTAACTTCCCTACTACCTTGATCAAGGTTTTTCTTTTTCTTTTTTTTCATTATTGATGCAAGGGACTATTTTGTGGAATTCCAAAATAAACAAATGAAACATGTTATTCTGGTTCAGATATAGGTGAGGATTCTGAAATCTCCAGCTTAAACTGTAAGTTCACAAGGTGCTAGATTTTAAAAACATAGTAAAGATGTTTTTTTTTGACAGTGTTACAGTAATTAATATTCTATTCATTTTTTCTTGATTTGACATTAAATTTCAACCAAATGGAAAAAAATAAACTGTTAAGTTCATTTGTCCCTGCATTTCCCATGGTTCTTGATCCTGCTCATTGCTTCTAATACTTGGTATTTCAAACATAACTAGTACTTACCTTTATATCATGGTATTTACATAAAATACTGTCTTTAAACATGAACTCCTTTTAGATCATCAGCCTAAAATCTTCCACATACTTATTTATCAGATGGTTCTTAAGTATCAGCTATACCAGGCAGGCACTGTAGAGACAATACAGTTTCTAGCTTACAAGTTTGTGGAGAAAGATGAACAGAACAAGGAAACCAGTAAGGTCAGGCACTATCAGTTGTGACAGGATGCTGCGGGACCAAGGAAT